CAGTATAACAGCATGTATGTATCATATGCCACAGAGTATAACATATTTGTATATATATTTCATAAATCTCACACAATATATTTGTGTGCGTGTGTGTGTGTGTGTTATAGAAATAAGTGGTTTATGCTGGTGTATAAGCAATAAATATATAAAAGATGAGTCCAGATATTTCTTCTTGACACATGGTCTGTGTAGTTCAAGTCGGTAAGTCTGTCGGCAAGAAGGTCGGCCTTCAAGGATCGAATCCTAGCGTCGATGATTCAGTAGCAACGTCTACGGACGGGATGTCTGCTGTCCTTGGATCTACTGAATGTATCTTCAGTAGCTGGCTGTTCTTTTTGCAGCATTTGCACAACCTGAAACACATTCGGATGTGTCTTTATGGCATACTTGTTGATTTTGTTGTGCCAACCTTCCAAAGTATTGTTAGTTCTGTGTCCATCATTTTCAAATTGATTCCAAGTTGGCAGAGTCCATGGACCTTCTACCCAGGTGGTAGTAAAGGAATCCAAATAAATGTTTCCAACAGCATTTCGATAATCCTTCTACTCCCAATATCCAAAATAATTTATAAGCTCTCTGTTTCTTTCGGGTATTATTTTTGCATGTTAAACTCCAAAATGGTAATCCTTCCACTCGCATAACGTAAAATAATAGTCTGTTTGCAACCTTAATTGTCTTACAAATTGTTAAAAAGACATTCTCTATAATTAACTTAATTCATTTACTCATGAATCGAACATAATGACCACAGCCACTTGCAAATCACTAAGCAAACATTCTCTTTCATTAATTAACACCGTCACGGTATGTTGACCACGCGATGTCGACACTCCGGGTTTTTTGTTCTGTCGACGGTTAGCAACATCCTATTTTTCATTTGTCGACAGATCGGGCTGACACCATTGAAACACATGTTGTCGTTCAATTGCTGGGCTGTCTAATCTGTTCGTATACGTATTTTCCCTCAAAAAAGCGATCAATATTCAGCACGTAGACGAATTAATTGTGTCATTCAACTGTCAGGTACACGGTGACATTACAATATATTCAGCTGATGTGTTTACTCATCGCTTAGCTACGACTCAAATGGACTTATTTTTAACCATGCACCTTGGACTGCTCTTTGCACTAATGTATGTGAGATTAGTACCATGTTCTATGAATGCGATGACCAACCGTCAGCACTAATAAAGGCGGTACAATAGCACTCAAACACCGATGTGTCGAAGTAAAGGTTGCGTCATTAAGTATCCCTTATGTCATCACACTTGTGTCGAGGTTGAAGTGACCCACGTGATTGCTTCGAGTTATCTCAGGTTCGGCATAAACGCCAAATAACCTAGGAAGGAATAAGCAGGGACCAACACACTTACTTCGAGAAAAAAGGAAGTTCGACACATCCGTAAATTCGGCATATGAAAGTTCGACTCAACTGTGTTTAACTGTACATGTATAATTTGCCGAGATTAATCCACACACGCGTTGACCTCGAAAAGAATGTAAATGACCTCTTACTTCGATAAAACCGGAAGTTCGACACAAAAAAGTCCGACTCGACAATTTTAATCTGCACTCGCATTGACCTTAAAAATAATTAATTATTTATATCATATTTCAGCTTAGCTGGAGTATTGAACTGACCTGATTTTCACGGCGACAGGCGTATGCAATAAGTCACTGATATTGGACCCTGGTGGTGTGTCATTCACGTCCTGGGGCGGTGGGGTAGCCTAATGGTTAAAGCGTTGTCTCGTCACGCCGAAGACCCGGGTTCGAATCCCCACATGGGCACAAAGTGTGAAGCCCATTTCTGGTGTCCCCCGCCGTGATGTTGCTGGAATATTGCTAAAAGCGGCGTAAAACCAAACTCAGTCAGTCAGTCAGTCAGTCATTCACGTCCTTGTTGAATAAAATGTCGGGGTAGCGTAGCGTGCATAAATTGTTTAGAAAATTGTATGAATCCAACAGTACAGTCCGTTTCAGTCAGAAACGGACCGATGAATTGCAAATTTGATCATTGTACAAAATTGCCACATAAATATAAATAGAACACGTTTATCATTTACTAATACCCAACAGCTTTCTTATATTTGAAAATTTTCCGGACTCCACCAACAAAGTTGTTTAAGAAACTATCATCATTGAAAACGCAAAAGTTGTTATCTGTCGTGGCAGGGTGAAACCACAGAAACGGAGCAGCCACTATCTCGTCGTGCACGGGATACACATGCCTGATGAAAAATGAAGTTGAATGCTGACGTGAAACAGTTGATGATTAAAGTGTACGATTTTTTCCGCGCTGAAGCCGAAAGGGACAAACTATTTTATGCCATTAATAAATTCCGTAAGCGGGCAGGAAAAGCTTTAGGAGTATCAGCAAGGGTACTGACAAATGTTCTGGAACACAAACATTGTAAGGGTGATGCGAAGCAGGTAGGGGTCGTGTCAAAATCACACAAATTAAAACATTTGGACAACTTTCAAAAGAACCTTGTAAGGCAGTCTATCAACAAGCTCTATTCTGAAAACAAGTGATCACAGGGCCGTAGAAATGCCAAACAGGAGAACCCTCCATTGGCAGTGGATGCCTTCGATGAACCACAGGTATTTACGATGGTCTGGTAAAATCGGAACATGCAGGGACACGTCTTGTAGATAGAAACTGATCATGAAGTCCCTTGGTCTGAGTATCGTTCTAAGCAGAGCTCCCCTGGTCTGAGTATCGTTCTAAGCAGAGCTCCCCTGGTCTGAGTATCGTTCTAAGCAGAGCTCCCCTGGTCTGAGTATCGTTCTAAGCAGAGCTCCCCTGGTCTGAGTATCGTTCTAAGCAGAGCTACTGAGATCACGGACTAGGAGGCTGGAGGTAGTTGAAAATCTTCAACCTGAAAATTAGTCGAAGCTTGTTTGAATCCTTCTTTGGTACCAGAAAGGTAAGTTCGCCGAATGTTGGGTGTAAGATCTGTACGAAGATGCAGCCGAAGATTGTCACGTAACCACTAAAGGTGACAAGTGCTTTACGGAGGGTTCGCCGAAGTATATGGGATCGTCAAATGGGCGGATAACAGCTGTCTGGTCATGTCCAGAGGGATCTGGAAGCACGAGGGATTGCCGAATCTAACTGGTGAAACACCACCAATCGAAATGAGAGCGATGGTCTGGCGACGGTGAAGGAGTGGCGTCCGACGGAGGGGATAATCGTCTCAAATTCTCGCCCAAAAGGAATCGGAAGGTGCGTCCTTATTAGACCCCTTCGCTGATGTAGGGCCAGAATCACCTGACTTGTGCCTGGAGTCCCGGTTCGCGAGGCGGTGGGATCCCACCTTCCTGTATAGTTAGCAAGCTTGTGGTCATCCGGGTTCTCGCAAAGCCAAAAGCAATCTATGCACGATGCATGAGGATCCGTTATAGAGGTTTTCTAACACTGTAGACAGACTTTCCTTTTTCATGAAGATGAATCTTCTTTCCCCACGACGCTAAAGTTATAAAGTCAGTTTATTTGCCACAGTTTACAGCAAGCCCACATCCTAGTGTGACAAGAAAGAGAAATGTTTATTTGCCACAGTTTACAGCAAGCCCACATCCTACTGTGACAAGGAAGAGAAATGTTTATTTGCCACAGTTTACAGCAAGCCCACATCCTAGTGTGGCAAGAAAGAGAAATGTTTATTTGCCACAGTTTACAGCAAGCCCACATCCTAGTGTGACAAGAAAGAGAAATGTTTATTTGCCACAGTTTACAGCAAGCCCACATTCTACTGTGACAAGAAAGAGAAATGTTTATTTGCCACAGTTTACAGCAAGCCCACATCCTAGTGTGACAAGAAAGAGAAATGTTTATTTGCTACAGTTTACAGCAAGCCCACATCCTACAAGAAAAGAAATGTTTATTTGTGACAAGAAAGAGAAATGTTTATTTGCCACAGTTTACAGCAAGCCCACATCCTACTGTGACAAGAAAGAGAAATGTTTATTTGCCACAGTTTACAGCAAGCCCACATTCTACTGTGACAAGAAAGAGAAATGTTTATTTGCCACAGTTTACAGCAAGCCCACATCCTAATGTGACAAGAAAGAGAAATGTATACAATAATGGATCACATGATCAATCAGTAAGTGAGTGAGTGAGTTAAGTTTTACGCCGCACTCAGCAATATTCCTGCTATATGGCGACGGTCTGTAAATAATCGAGTCTGGACCAGACAATCCAGTGATCAACAGCACGAGCATCGATCTTCGCAATTGGGAACCGATGACGTGTCAACCAAATCAGCGAGCCTGACCACCCGATCCCGCTTGAAGCCCCTTGCTACAAGCATTGGTTACTTAGGAGACAAACGTACAGTGTTTGGAAATTAGATGAATGTTAGACCGAATTGATAGTCTCTAAATTTCATTTGAAGCCGAACGCGTAGCGTGGGGTTTAAAAATGATTAATTTAGAGACTCTCAATTCGGTCTAACATTCATCTAATTTCCAAACACAGTATGTTTATCTCCATTCTACCATAACCGATTTAACATCGAACTTCCCCGTCCTGTGGAAGACGATGCGTAACCCGGCATGGGACGAGAGGCGAATTGAACTCGTCTGATAAAGGAGCGGTAGGTTCCGTTCGTATGTTTTTTAACATTGCAACATAAAGAATATTCTGTCCAAAGAAAACAAACTAGTGTTTATTCAATGCAATACTGTAACACCTAAGAGCTTGGTTTTTATAATCATAACTCCACAAGACCGAAACCAGCCTATTGTTTTGTGCGCCGTGTTACTGTACCCCCTGGCAACACTATAATGGAATCGTCTGACCTACTTATTTTCTTGGAGGTAGACAGTTACGCAACAGTTTGAAATGGCGGACGCGCCAGTGCATGTATTAAAGCAGCCTGGAATATGGCTAAGCGCCACACTTACGCGCCAGTCATATTAAAGTATTTCAAATCTCACATTTCGCACATACATTGGCATTAACCCATTATCTAATAGACACATTATGAAAAACTTGTGAAAATGCTTTTTGATATTTGTGTTACTATATTATTGCGAAATATACATTAATGTCGTCTTTTTTAAGGTGTCATTCGGTACAACAAGGGAGTAATCCATGTTCATATTTGAACTTCCGCTTCCACCGTTGGATAATTCAAGATGAATCATGCAGGTAAATTACATTGATATTACATATAACCAGTCATCAAATGATGTCAAAACTTTGCCATTAGTACCTGCTTAGCTTGGCCCTTATTTAACTGTTGATTATTGTAACTATTTGAGTCATTTGGCCACTAACTTGCGTCTAGCAAATAGACAGGTTGGGGAAACCTACCGATCGGCCTATAAAAGACAGAACGGGATATTATAGGCCGTTCTGCCTATTTTGCTGTAGGCCGATCAGGCTATATTTGACCATTATTATTAACAGTTCACAAACTATCAATTTCCGCACGAAATGGTTTTATTAGATCCTAGAGATGAATAGTTAATGGACCTGCTCAGCTTGGAAAAAATAGGTTTTTGGATAAAATGGAAATTTATATAATGTTCAGGAAAAGATGTTTCATTTAAGAACACAATTTTGCACAGATTTTCATTTTGACAACTAAAACTGAATATCTATGTCATTAATTTTCAGTGAAAATTGTCAAAAATATTATAGTCTTATATTTAATTAGCAATTTCAAAACTTCTTTATTATGTGATGAAAATGCTCAAAAAGGGTTTGAATGAAAACCTTAGGACATCAAAACTATAATGATGTTAATATCCTCATGCGGAAATGCACCACTTCAAATTTATTTGATGAATATCATAATTAAAGGCCAATCGGCCTACAGCAAAATAGGCGGAACGGCCTATTATATCCCGTTTGGCCTATTATAGGCCGATCGGTAGGTTTCCCAAACCTGATTAATCTTACTTAGTAACTGCGAATGTTACTACATTTTGGCAGTAAATTTGCTGAATAAACTATATTTTGCATAATATAGTGAACATATGTCAAAGTGCTTGGGTTTAATTAACACTGAAACACATGTATTGTGCTGAGTAGAAGTAAAGCCTCATATCAATGTTATATAAGGTCCAATCATCTCTTCAATATTTTGCATAATAAAGCTACCAAATATGAGTATTATAGGGTCCAATTATGTCAACAACACTGTATATTTTGTAGAATTAGGAATCATATGTTAAAATTACATATATCCCATATATCAGTGTTTCATGGGCTAATCATTACAAATTCTTTTATTTTTTATTTGTTGTAGCCATAATCCCAAATCGGTTCCAGCTGAACGAGGACTTTGACAATATAATCGTTCCGAGTCAAACTTCAAGAAAGAGGAGGAATTTAAGGAAGGGTGATACTGTGTAAATATGATATTCATTATTATCATTATTAATTATTATTATACATTCAGCAGCTATTACAGTTGTCATGTCAGCTATCATATTTATTCGGTAGCCTTGGGCTGTGGGGTTGCAGAGTGGTTTAAGTATTCGCTCATCACACCAAATACATGGGTTCGATTCCCCACATGAGTTCAGTGTGGAATATTGCCAAAGGCGGCGTAAAACTATACTCACTCACTATCTCACTATTCAGTAGCTAGTGTATGGTGAGCATCGTCCTTATTCTTCATTCTGATGTGTCATATCTCCATTCTTCCTAGAAAAATAATCTGTTCCCATTGGCCATGAAGGCTTTATTGTTTAAGTACGTCACCTCACAAGCTCCATTTTTCTGTGTAAGCATTAGTGTCTCCTTTTATTTTTAATTCCTCTAGTGCACAGAAGGCTTCAAAATCAACATGCCCAAAACAACAGCAGCATCAGCAAATTCATCACCAGCAACAGCCGGGTCCGTCTGATCAAGAACTCTCTACTCCTAAAACAGTCATTGAATCTGAGGTTGGTATGTGAGACTGTAGGAACTAAATTCCTTAGCTAGTGGCAATTCACTTTGTATAATTGTTTTGTATTACATATTAACATTTCTAAATGGCATTAAACCAAACTCAACCCTTAAGCCATTCATATATTTTCACATGATCAGTGTGCAATTTAGTATGCAGTCCTTTTGGTCCTGTACATTTCAAAACCTAACTGAACTTCCTTGTGGCTGTATGTTATAAGGTCTATTTATATACCAAAGAATGCGATGCTTTGTGGTTTCTTCGTACTTTTTTGCAGGTGACGTCCCCTTGTGTAGTAATATTATATTTTCAATAACGAATCGTATACAAATAGTCAATGACGTGATCGTCAATTTGTGATTTGTTGCATTAGAATAGTGTTTGGTGACCAAAATCATTTATGGTCATGTATCTGTGTTGAATAACATATATACTGAAGGACACAAATAAGGGAACCTATGAAAGTACAAGTGCCCTGATATCCTTTTCCAAGTTCTTTGCATGCTTTGTGGGTGAAAATGCCACAATATATAAAGGGATGCTTTTATGGTTCCATCAGTATATTTATTACCAATAATATCTTAGTTTATTAGCATAAACAAATTAGAAGTCATTATCTCTTCTAGTTGAACATTACTGTGTAGAATATAAACAGCATCTATTATGTCTGAATGTCATTTTCTGAAAACAGAAATGTTCTTATTTGCCAATTTTTATACCATGTGTATTCATATGAACTATATTATCCCATCTATTTTAACTAAACAATTAGGTAGTAGCTAAATTTTATTGTGCAAGCATGTCTTACAAATTTATCAGATAAGTGAAAATGATTAAATGTCATGGGGTGTTTTCCATGAATGTGTAATTGGTTGTCACGCCTCCTTACTAATTATTTTAAATAATATTTGTATACGAAAGCATTTCAACTACATTTATTATCTATTTCACATTTTATGTGCCTGCAATATATCAGCATAGCCTAACCATTACTTCGTTGTTCCCTCTACCTGTCATTCCCTTCGAAACTTTAACTATATGTCTCCAGGAAGTATCACTTCCTAAATGTCTACTAACCCAAGTCTTTCTTAAACTTACTCCGTATCCCATTTACTAAATTTTGCAGAGATGAACTAAACGTAAAAAACATCAATAAAAGTTCTGGGGAAGATCAAGCCTTTCTTAAACTTACTCCTAATCCCATTTACTAAATTTTTGCAGAGATGAACTAAATGTAAAAAACATCAATAAAAGTTTGGGAAAGATCATTCCATGAATTAGCAGGTGAAATAAAATGAGGTTTAGAGTTGTAATTATGAATATTTCAATCATATGACGATGTGCATGTGTGTGTATGCATGGCTGTTTGTACTACCCCAGACTTACCATACCACAGTTAACATGAATACCCAACTCAGACACATTATACTCACTCCAAGCCAACCAGTCCTTCTTGTACACTGTTCTGCAACCAACATTTACATAACACAATCCTTTTATTCATGATTGAATTTAAAATTGAAACTAATTTTCTTTACTGGATGTCACATGGAGGCTGCTAACCAGGGTACCACACCCCAAGTGTTCAGCAGTTACATGGGCAACCAAGGGCAATCAAAGTATCATGTAAATGGTTACTATCAGCTAACAAGTGTTAACTTGGGTCAGGCCATCGTCAACACAGGTCCACCTGTCTAAAATGCTGAAAGTCATTTTCCCCGACCCCCAAGGGTCCGTCAGAAATTGTTATAGAAAGTTGAATTTATCTACCCATTTTTATGCTTTTATGCCAGGGTATATAGTCAACACCTCATGTCTCAGTCCGTCCCGTCTGTACGTAATCATTTTGTTTCCAGAGCATAACTTGGAAACCGTTAAATATTTTTCCACTAAACTTCATAGATATATCAAACTCACCCTGAAGTGGTGCCCTTTGCTATTTACATATTTTCCATGTCCGAATTGCATCATACTGGGGGTATATGTCATCTTCTTATGACTCTTGTCTATTTGATCTGCCTTTCAGTATACACTCACACCACTAAGGCAGTATGAGCACCTGCTGATTCAGGGTAAAGGCCTGTCTCCAAGCAGCCCCCATCACACTGCATTTGCCCTGCAAGACTTTGACCAGACATGTAACAAATTGAAGGTTGTTCAGTTTTATAATATTACATCTCACCATTGTCAAATGGTTTTTGTTTCATGGCTCATTGTCCACCCAACGTTGCAAAAGCTCAGAAATAAGATTTTTTCCAAATTTATTGTACATTACAATAAAATGTTTACTGAAGATTTTCTTCATATCCACATCAGCTAAAGCGCCATGGCCCTATATTCTCCCCTGTTAATGGTGCAATAACGTTTGATGTAATTTTACATATCTCTCTTTCTTTCCAATCCTTTGAACACATTTTACCCTTAATAATGTATCTTAGATAAAGTTTTAAAGCAAGTTATACATCGGTTTTTAAATGTACATGTTTTGTCCCCAAATACCTCTAATTAGATTCATTATTTAACACATCTGTTGTATTAATATATGTCTCATGTCTCACTAAACTTTTACATATTTTTTTTGTATTTAGGATGTCTATTACATTGTTCGGAGACGGCACATTACGTGTTGTGATGGAAATACCTGGATCTATGCTTGCCAGTGTGAAAGGGCAAGGGAGACGCTGGTGTTTGCCATTGAACAAGCGTATAATGGCTCAGTCCAAGAAATCAAAGGTTTGTTATGTTAGTTTGTGAAATGTAAAAATCTATGGGTCCTTTATAACATTCATATGTATTAATATGTACTTAAATATCAGTTTAATACAAGACACCAAATCATTATTGTTGTTACTTGCATCCACCTCATATTATGTCTGAAGTAGTGACAAGTAGTCTGAAGTCTCTCCAAACACCAATCTTAGGCTAAGGTAAAGACTGTAAAACATCAGTTTCTTTCCAGACACCAATCTTAGGCTAAGGTAAAGCCTGTAAAACATCAGTTTCTTTCCAGACACTAATCTTAGGCTAGGGTAAAGACTTTAAAACATCAGTTTCTCTCCAGACACCAATCTCAGGCTAAGGTAAAGACTGTTAACATCAGTTTCTATCCAGACACCAATCTTAGGCTAAGGTAAAGACTCTAAAACATCAGTTTCTCTACAGACACCAATCTTAGGCTAAGGTAAAGACTGTAAAACATCAGTTTCTCTCCAGACACTAATCTTAGGCTAAGGTAAAGATTGTAAAACATTAGTTTCTTTCCAGACACCAATCTTAGGCTAACGCAAAGACAGTAAACATCAGTTTATCTCCTGACACCAGTCTTAGGCTAAGGAAAAGACTGTAAAACATCAGTTTCTCTCCAGACACCAATCTTAGGCTACGGTAAAGCCTGTAAAACATCAGTTTCTTTCCAGACACTAATCTTAGGCTAAGGTAAAGATTGTAAAACATCAGTTTCCTTCCCGACACCAATTCCAGGCTAAGGTAAAGACTCTAAAACATCAGTTTCTTTCCAGACACCAATGTTAGGCTAAGGTGAAGACTGTGAAACATCAGTTTCTTTCCAGACACCAATCTTAGGCTAAGGTAAAGACTGTAAACTATCAGTTTCTTTCCAGACACCAATCTCAGGCTAAGGTAAAGACTGTAAAACATTAGTTTCTTTCCAGACACCAATCTTAGGCTAAGGTAAAGACTGTAAAACATCCGTTTCTTTCCAGACACCAATCTTAGGCTAAGGTAAAGACTGTTAACATCAGTTTCTCTCCAGACACCAATCTTAGGCTAAGGTAAAGACTGTAAAACATCAGTTTCTCTACAAACACCAATCTCAGGCTAAGGTAAAGACTGTAAAACATCAGTGTCTCTCCAGACACCAATCTCAGGCTAAGGTAAAGACTGTAAAACATCAGTTTCTTTCCAGACACCAATCTTAGGCTAAGATAAAGACTGTAAAACATCAGTTTCTCTACAAACACCAATCTCAGGCTAAGGTAAAGACTGTAAAACATCAGTGTCTCTCCAGACACCAATCTCAGGCTAAGGTAAAGACTGTAAAACATCAGTTTCTTTCCAGACACCAATCTTAGGCTTAAGTAAAGACTGTAAAACATCCGTTTCTTTCGAGATACCAATCTTAGCCTAAGGTTAAGACTGTAAACATCAGTTTCTTTCCAGACAGCAATCTTAGGCTAAGGTAAAGATTGTAAAACATCAATTTCTCTCCAGACAGCTATCTTAGGCTAAGATAAAGACTGTAAAACATCTGTTTCTTTCCTGACACCAATCTTACGCTACGGTAAAGACTGTAAAACATCAGTTTCTTTCCAGACACTAATCTTAGGCTAAGGTAAAGACTGTAAAACATCAGTTTTTTCTAGACAACAATCTTAGGCTAAGGTAAAGACTGTCAAACATCAGTTTCTTTCCAGACACCAATCTTAGGCGAAGGTAAAGACTGTAAAACATCCGTGTCTTCCCAGACACCAATCTTAGGCTAAGATACAGACTGTAAAACATCGGTGTCTTTCCAGACACCAATTTCAGGCAAAGGGACAGATTGTAAGACATCAGTTTCTTTCCAGACACCAATCTCAGGCTAAGGTAAAGACTGTAAAACATCAGTTTCTTTCCAGATACCAATCTTAGGCTAAGGTAAAGACTGTAAAACATCCGTTTCTCTCCAGACACCAATCTTAGGCTAAGGTGAAGACTGTGAAACATCAGTTTCTTTCCAGACGCCAATCTTAGGCTAAGGTAAAGACTGTAAAACATCAGTTTCTCTCCAGACACCAATCTTAGGCTAAGGTAAAGACTGTAAAATATCAGTTTCTTTCCAGACACCAATCTCAGGCTAAGGTAAAGACTGTAAAACATTAGTTTCTTTCCAGACACCAATCTTAGGCTAAGGTAAAGACTGTAAAACATCCGTTTCTTTCCAGACACCAATCTTAGGCTAAGGTAAAGACTGTTAACATCAGTTTCTCTCCAGACACCAATCTTAGGCTAAGGTAAAGACTGTTAAACATCAGTTTCTCTACAAACACCAATCTCAGGCTAAGGTAAAGACTGTAAAACATCAGTGTCTCTCCAGACACCAATCTCAGGCTAAGGTAAAGACTGTAAAACATCAGTTTCTTTCCAGACACCAATCTTAGGCTAAGATAAAGACTGTAAAACATTAGTTTCTTACCTGACACCAATCTTAGGCTAAGGTAAAGCCTGTAAAACATCAGTTTCTTTCGAGATAGTAATCTTAGGCTAAGGTTAAGACTGTAAAACATTAGTTTCTTTCCAGACACCAATCTTAGGCTAAGGTAAAGACTGTAAAACATCAGTTTCTTTCCAGACACCAATCTTAGGCTAAGGTAAAAACTGTAACGTCAGTTTCTTTTGAGAAACCAATCTTAGGCTAAGGTAAAGACTGTAAAACATCAGTTTCTTTCCAGACACCAATCTTAGGCTAAGGTAAAAACTCTAAAACATCAGTTTCTTTCCAGACACCAATCTTAGGCTAAGGTAAAGACTGTAAAACATCAGTTTCTTTCCAGACACCAATCTTAGGCCAAGGTAAAAAGTCTAAGCCATCAGTTTCTTTCCAGACACCAATCTTAGGCTAAGGTAAAGACTGTAAAACATCAGTTTCTCTCAAGACACCAATCTTAGGCTTAAGTAAAGACTGTAAAACATCAGTTTCTTTCCAGACACCAATCTTACGCTAAGGTAAAGATTGTAAAACATTAGTTTCTTTCCAGACACCAATCTTAGGCTAACGCAAAGACAGTAAACATCAGTTTATCTCCTGACACCAATCTTAGGCTAAGGAAAAGACTGTAAAACATCAGTTTCTCTCCAGACACCAATCTTAGGCTACGGTAAAGCCTGTAAAACATCAGTTTCTTTCCAGACACTAATCTTAGGCTAAGGTAAAGATTGTAAAACATCAGTTTCCTTCCCGACACCAATTCCAGGCTAAGGTTAAGACTCTAAAACATCAGTTTCTTTCCAGACACCAATCTTAGGCTAAGGTAAAGACTGTAAAACATCCGTTTCTTTCAAGACACCAATCTTAGTCCAAGGTAAAGACTGTAAAACATCAGTTTCTTTCCAGAGACCAATCTTAGGCTAAGGTAAAAACTCTAAAACATCAGTTTCTTTCCAGACACCTATCTAAGGCTAAGGTAAAGACTGTAAAACATCAGTTTCTCTCAAGTCACCAATCTTAGGCTTAAGTAAAGACTGTAAAACATCCGTTTCTTTCGAGATACCAATCTTAGCCTAAGGTTAAGACTGTAAACATCAGTTTCTTTCCAGACAGCAATCTTAGGCTAAGGTAAAGATTGTAAAACATCAATTTCTCTCCAGACAGCTATCTTAGGCTAAGGTAAAGACTGTAAAACATCTGTTTCTTTCCTGACACCAATCTTACGCTACGGTAAAGACTGTAAAACATCAGTTTCTTTCCAGACACTAATCTTAGGCTAAGGTAAAGACTGTAAAACATCAGTTTTTTCTAGACAACAATCTTAGGCTAAGGTAAAGACTGTCAAACATCCGTGTCTTCCCAGACACCAATCTTAGGCTAAGTTACAGACTGTAAAACATCGGTGTCTTTCCAGACACCAATTTCAGGCAAAGGGACAGATTGTAAGACATCAGTTTCTTTCCAGACACCAATCTCAGGCTAAGGTAAAGACTGTAAAACATCAGTTTCTTTCCAGATACCAATCTTAGGCTTAAGTAAAGACTGTAAAACATCAGTTTCTTTCCAGACACCAATCTTAGGCTAAGGTAAAGACTGTGAAACATCCGTTTCTTTCCAGACACCAATCTTAGGCTAAGATAAAGACTGTAAAACATCAGTTTCTTACCTCACACCAATCTTAGGCTAAGGTAAAGCCTGTAAAACATCCGTTTCTTTCGAGAGACCAATCTTAGGCTAAGGTTAAGACTGTAAACATCAGTTTCTTTCCAGACAGCAATCTTAGGCTAAGGTAAAGATTGTAAAACATCAATTTCTCTCCAGACAGCTATCTTAGGCTATGGTAAAGACTGTAAAACATCAGTTTGTTTCCTGACACCAATCTTACGCTACGGTAAAGACTGTAAAACATCAGTTTCTTTCCAGACACTAATCTTAGGCTAAGGTAAAGACTGTAAAACATCAGTTTTTTCCAGACAACAATCTTAGGCTAAGGTAAAGACTGTCAAACATCAGTTTCTTTCCAGACACCAATCTTAGGCTATGGTAAAGACCGTAAAACATCCGTGTCTTTCCAGACAACAATCTTAGGCCAAGATAAAGACTGTAAAACATCAGTGTCATTCCAGACACCAATTTCAGGCAAAGGGACAGATTGTAAGACATCAGTTTCTTTCCAGACACCAATCTCAGGCTAAGGTAAAGACTGTAAAACATCAGTTTCTTTCCAGATACCAATGTTAGGCTAAGGTAAAGACTGTAAAACATCATTTTCTCTCCAGACACCAATCTTAGGCTAAGGTAAAGACTGTGAAACATCAGTTTCTTTCCAGACACCAATCTTAGGCTAAGGTAAAGACTGTTAACATCAGTTTCTCTCCAAACACCAATCTTAGGCTAAGGTAAAGACTGTAAAACATCAGTTTCTCTACAAACACCAATCTCAGCCTAAGGTAAAGACTGTAAAACATCAGTGTCTCTCCAGACACCAATCTTAGGCTAAGGTAAAGACTGTAAAACATCAGTTTCT